TATTAGCACACAAGAAACAGTTTTAGAAAAATAGCACAAGGTCAGTTCCAGAGACAGTAATTCATATTAGAATGTTAGTTGATAAATATCATATTTCAACAGAATCTAGACCACGTCTATCTGCAATGATCAACCCGGGTCGAATAGCTTCCGCTTTTCCAGCTTTAGTAATTTTATGGAGAAAAGTTGATGATTTACAGATTGTCGGAGTTAAACAGCCAAATTAGTAGCACGTTTACATACACCACAAGAGACAAGATATTTGTTTTTTACAATCTTTTGATACAGGATTAGGTTGGAATAATTGGCCTAAAGTTTTTGAGAATATTATTAGACAAGGTGGACCGTCATTACCAGGATCTGAACAAGCAAATTCGCTGCGTACAGTACAACTGCAGTTCCAATGAATGACAGACCGTATCGACTTTTAAAAATACCAGATTTAGCTAGACAGGTTAAAGATCAAAAGCTTTCTGAAAATGTTTCACAAATTCCTAATTACGTTGACGATTTTGATGATAATTACTCAGAAAGAAAAGAGACTAGATGAGGTCAAGCAGAAGAATCTGATCATAATGATGGTTTCTGAAGTCTGACAAGTACACAAAACTTTTCAGAGAACTTTTCAGAGAACAGGTGCTAGTAAAAATCAAGGAAAGAAAAAGAAACATATAGACCAAGCACTAAAGTATGAATCCTCTTCACAAGTGGAAACAAGTTTTGGGTTTTTAGAATATCGAATATTTTTAGAACACCTAGCAACAACTCAAAATCAAGACTCAAAAAAATTTAGAACTGTTTCAGAAAAACAGGATATAACAATTCCTGTGATGGTAAGAGATGGACAAATGGAGATAACCGAATCAAAAAGTGACAAAGTAGTTTTAGAAAGTAATGATAAAACAAATTTAATCAGTTCTATAGATAAAGAATGTCGTTTAACAGTTCTGCCAGTCTATCCACTCATAGTCATTAAACTTCAAACAATATATAATATACTTTCAAATCCAAATCCCGAAGTTTCCTTCTGTCACTTACAGCAGCATTCATTTGTGCTCAAATTCAATGAAGACACCATTAGTGAATATATACCTGCTACATGCACTAGAGACCGGAACAGTATTTACAATGTTCCAGCACTGTTAAGGCCCACGTCGCCTAAGATTTTTCAAAAAGTTCGAATACTTAACATCACTGAGCTCGCTATCCATTCTGACGAATGTTTAGCTCTATACCTGCTCTCAGGATCTGTCCCTTCTAAAGTAAAATTCACGCGCTTTGGACAATGAAATGGAAGTAAACTGTCAATATGTAGTTGTTGAATAACCGTTGAAAGGTGGAATGGTAGATAGTAGGACAAAGAAAAAGAAAATTTACTAAACTTTTATTAATTTAAAAATTTTTTATACGATAACCTTTGAAAGGTAATTACTATTCATTGATTAATTATAGGTTGCGCACTTATTGAGATTTTTAGTTGTTCCATAGAGTTTTTGAACATGTTGAGCTGCTTCAGCGAAAATAATTGCTAGGCCAGCTTGTAAATGCCAGTCGATATGACAATGCATCATCCATATGCCAGGGTTATTCGCTACAAAACGTAGTACCATATAACTATTTGGATTAATAGATACTGTATCGCGTCTCAATGGATTTTTAGTATTAAAAATAACTTTTTTCTTATTAAAATCACCATCGTTTGTTTTTCCGTTTGCAATTATCGAAAATGTATGTCCATGCAAATGGATTGGATGTTCTCCATCGTCGTGATTATTGATGATTATGTCAACAATATCAGCATAATCAATTGAAATAACATTATTTGATTTTGGATATGATCGATTGGTTTGAACGATAGACAACAGGGTTGTATTCATTAAAGGAACGAAGCTATTATTATTAAAATATGCTAGATTGACACCATTTTCATCATCATCAAATTCAATTTCTACTTTCACAGTTTTATTGCTTTTACTTGGTATATCTGGTTCCATTGGTTGAAGTGAATATGGATCAATGAAGCTATCGCCTTCACGAAATGAATCTAATATAAATCCATCATTTTTATTCAATTGCAGTTCTGAAGGGAGACCGTATTTATCATTATAGGATAATATCGCACTAACATTTGGTTTTAACGACGGAAACGCCATAGGATTTGGATCAATTATAGCTCGAATCCAATAGTTTCGATTTGTACTAGGTTTTCCTTCAACCAAAACAGAATATCGTTGTCCGGCATTTATACGAATTCCGCTAACATTTGCTTCACCATTTAAACTGATACCATCAGCTTCTATTACTTTCATTGTGTGTTCTTCAATTGTAAATAGAAAAACAGCGAATGCTGATGTGTTTATAATTCGAAATCGTTTTGCCGCTCCAATTTTAATAGAAGCATTATAATACTGACATTTGTTAACAGCGCAGTTATATTGACCAATTCCGTTAATCAGTCCCGTATCAGGTACTGGCTCATCGCCGCCACTCGACTGTGAAAGGTAAGATTTTTGTAAAGTTAATGCTTGCTTATGATACCAATCAGATAACATTAAAACCTCTTCTCCATCGTAATAGTTTTTCCATGGATCTTCAGGATCGTGAATGATTAATGCACTTTTTAGTCCATCAATATATTGAATAGAAGAATGTGAATGATACCAATATGTACCAGTTTGAATTCCTGTGTGAAATTTATAATGATATTTTTGATTTGATGGTATTGCACATTGTGTTACTCCTGGCACCCCGTCAGATGTTAGTGTACCAATTTGAAACATTCCATGCCAATGAATACTAGTCGACATATCGAGCGTATTCACGACTGTTATGTTAATAGTATCGCCTTTACAAATGTTAATTATTGGAGCTGGAAATTGATTGTTAATGCTCAAAAGTGAACGTTTAAAACCATCTGGTGAACGATTCAACTGTTGAACACGAAATTCAGCAGTGAATGTTGTCTTATCACAATAATCAGCAATGCATAATGAAAATAATATTATTGAGAACAACAATGATCTGATCATATTTTATTGTGTATAGGTTCTTAAATCAATAAAAGACTTTTGGCAAAAAACTAAACATTTTCACAGTGTCCGTTATATACAAATAAACAAGATTTCGTGTGTTTTAACTCCAGCCAAAACTGAACTTTTATTAATTCTAGATCCACGGCTTGAGTCAGAATTACTTTTGAATTAACTGGAACAAGGTAAGTCTTGACAAATGTGTTGTAACTAGCTCTTTTACAATAGAACCTTTTTATTAAATATAAGTGAAGTTATCATCGCAAGTTCACGTCCTTAAACTAAACATTCGTTGCGAAAGACATGAACGTAACACAAATTTCGTCCGATTTTTTCAGATCTTTTCCAAAGATGCGCAGCAAGTCACGACTTTTTCAGTCTCAGTCAAGTCTCGGTCGTATTGTTTTTGCAAAATCGTCAGTCTCAGTCATGACTTAAACTAGCCCATTTTTCTATTTATTTTGTTCTGACATTAGAAATATTTCTGTCTTCTTTTTTTTGTTAAATACGTTATTTAACAAAAAAAAGAAAGCACGGAAATATTCCTAATATCTTAATCGAGAAATTTAAAGTTACATTTGAACAGTGTAAGAGTAGAAAGAGTATTTTCTGTCATTCTAGATCTGTGTTGACGCATTAAGAAACCGCTCTGCGAGAAAACACACTCTACAGGTCCACTTGTAGCTGGTACACAAAGTATTTTTATCGCCAAGGCATTCAGCAGTGGATAATACGATGTTTTTTACCTATTTTTACTATACATTATATACGTATTTCTATATTCACGATATATAGTTATTTCACTATATCTTCTTTTTGACAACACCTAGACTTTCTTTTCATTTCATCTTCATTTGTCTTTCTGCTTACTTTTTCTGTGGTGTGAGTCGTGTAGGAAAGAGACTCAAGAAAACTGAGTTAGACACTCATAATTCTTAAAATTAAATGACACGTTCGAAAAGATCCGGGATGAGCAAGCAACACGTCATATGAGAGATTTTTGAAAAACTAAATTTAATCGACTAAAGGTGGAACTGCGTATGTACCAGTGTCGGTGCACCGAACAACGAACCGCACCGAAAAATTTCTATTTAAGTATGATCTAAAACTTGCTCATATCCTCAACGTCGAAATGATACAGTCTTTTTTCAGGTAACTTCAGCTGTCAGTGGACGAAAAAGTTGCCGCTCAAACTGTCTGCTGTTGAAGAGGATGCAGTTTTGAATTTTGGGTCAAATGAGAATCTTGTTCAACCTGTCAATGATTGACTTCACAATGTTAACTTGACCTTATTTTAACAAGTAATGGTGCTACTGTGAGTGATGTGAAAGCGACAAATCCTTTATGTTCATCTTGCGATCATTAAACATAACGTAAACAAAGATTTATTGCTTCTCAATTTGATTCTAATACTGGTATACTAGTAAGTCATCCTCGCGATACAGCAGAAACTTTAAACCAATACTTTGCGAAAAATGTGTACGACACTAAAACACACATTTCCCACTCTACTGGCTCCCAGTGTTGTGATCGCTAGTTTTAAGTAATAGAATATGTAAAATCAACTCAAAGAAAGCAGTAGCACCAGGAATTAGCAGGATAATATCAATTCTCAAGCATCTTTTCAACCTTTCTCTTGACACCGATACTTTTCTACCGGCATAAAGACTAACCGACGATGCCAAAGTAACTGGACAAATGTCTCTCCATTGTTCTTGTGGTAAAGCACTTTCTGAGAATATCAAAAACAGTTATTTTGAATGCATACTTCAGGAACTTTCTAATTATGTGTTCAGAAATATTTTATCGCTTTTAATTTTCTGACAGTGAGCGAATCTTTATGATCACCAAAAATTTAGACTGTAACGATACAAATTTTGGATATTTCTTCGTTTTGACAATAACCACTTCAAATTGAGAGATTAAGCTTTGGTTTAGTTACTAGTTTATAAAGCAGAATTTTCTCTGTCAACTAGACGTTCTTAGATTACTTTTG